ATGAGATACAGTTACAAAACTTTCATGTTTGAGTTTCAGTTATGCAATGATCAAACACCCATCCCTCCACCAGTGCACACTCTCCACCACCAATGAGGTGTTTTTTAAAGAAAAAATGTAGTTCATCAGATTAAAAATTCAGATTTTATATTCATCAGATTAAAAATTTAGTCATCAGAGTAATCCCATGACTGGATTCCCAGAGTAATCCCGGGAAGGTGGGTATTTTGCTCCATATGAATGACAGGCAATAGAGCATTGTAATTAGGGATATGTGTTCATGCAAGAGTTCCAGTTTTGATCACACCACTGTATGGGCCCCACGCCAACCCCTCACCCCAGCACCTTCAGGAGTGATCCTGAGGCTCTAGGCACTGCTGGATTTGGCCCCCAAAACAAAACAACAAAGAGTATGTATTCTGGAGTTAGACAATTGGAGTTTGAATTTCAGTTTTACTAATTATTAACCTAGTCTCAATCACAAAGCTCATTCATTTTACTCATCTTCAAATGAAGAAATATTTTTTTCATAACTAGCTATGAGAGGTAAATAATCATAACAGTACCTGGCATATAATATTACCTGAGAGTTATTATTATTAACATTGCAGAAAGGAGTGGAGCAATAGCACAGAGGTAGGGCATTTGCCTTGCACACAGCTGGCCCGGACGAGCCGGGTTCTATTCTTCTGCCCCTCTCGGAGAGCCTGGCAAGCTACCAAGAGTATCTCGCCTGCACAGCAAAGCCTGGCAAGCTCCCTGTGACGTATTCAATATGCCAAACACAGTAACAAGTCTTAACGTTACTGAGCCCACTTGAGCAAATCGATGAACCATGGGAGGACAGTGCAGTGTTACAGTGACAGTGCAGGAAGAAGTGAAAAGTCAGAAAAATCAAACAATCTCTTTAAAGCCACATAACTAGTTAGTAGGTGAGTTTGGCCTTTACCAAAGATTTGGACGCTTGTGGTATGGATTTTGAATCCGTTATGAATTCTGGGAGAAGTGGCAACTGTAAAATGAGTCATTCTTTCAACTTTATTTAATTTGCTTTTGGTTTCATCACATGTAGTAGTTTGGGGTACTGCCCATTCAATCACGGGATCCGTGGGTCTGAAATCTTTATGGGAGGATACAGCAAAATGGAAGGATGTCCCTAACCATGTGGGTGAACTGTCCTTAACAGAGATGCTGGGACCATTTTGAATTATTTCCAGATCAAGATTCTGGAAAATCAACACCCTATTTTACAAAACAATGAAGTTTTGGCCATACAATTTACAAAACATTGAGTCAATGCATATCTTTCTAGACTTCAGATTTTTTTTTTTGTTTTTTGGGTCACACTTGATGATGCTCAGGGGTTACTCCTGGCTTTGCACTCAGGAATTAGTCCTGTGGTGCTCAGGGGACCATATGGGATGCCGGGAATCCAACCTGAGTGGGCTGCATGCAAGGCAAACGCCCTCCCCACTGTATTATGGCTCCAGCCCCTTTTAGATTCTTTTCTAAGAGGAGGAAATCATTGAAGAGGAGAAAATACTTAGGATATATTACTTAGGAAAATACTTAGGAATACTTATATTTTGGTAATTGTATTTATTGCTTTGCATCCCTTTGAAGTGGTGAAAAATTATATCATCTCTAATGGGGATGCTTGTGGGGGAGTAATTAAAGTTCTATATTCTTTTAATGGAAAGAATATAGGCCGGAGTCAGACAGTGAAGTTCAAATCCTAATTCCACCACTTTTTGTTATGTATACCATTTCTTCTTCTGTATGTTAATGATGTTAATAATGTTTGAAAGCTTAAAGGTGATAACCCTCACTAAAGAGATAATGTGTGGATGAGTGTTATTGCTTATATGTGGAGAGGGGGAGGATAGGAGTCAATTTTCACACTGACTCAAAGTCATTGCTGAAGTGTAAGCCAGGGTCTGATTTCTCACTGGAGTGCTGTGTGGACTTCTTCACCTGGGCATATTGTTTTTTTCACATTTTAAATTTTGAGTGTTAGCAAAAATCCAAAACCAACATATAATTCTTGAACCCAGCTATAGAAAGCAAATCACTTCACAATGCTTTGTCAGCATGTCTGATTTGGGGGTGGGGGGGGTAAACTCTAAATAATAGTGGTGAATCTTTTATTGAAACAATGAATCTAATCAAAGCAGATAGAGTGTTAACTAGAATTCATCTGCCCCACAGGGACTGGGAGGGGTGGGGGGTGGGGTTTTATTGGGGTTCTTCATGGTAAAAAATAAGTTTGGGTAAAGGGAAATGTGCTTGATATTTGCATGACTGAGACCTAAACCTGAAAGCTTTGTAACCTTTCCCATGGTGATTCAATAAATAAATAAATAAATTTAAAAAAAAATTTTGAGTGTTCACCCAACTACAGATGAATGGATCAAGAAGTTGTGTTTTATGTATGCACAATAGAATACTGTGTGGCTTTAAAAATGAATAAAATCATGCGATTTGCAGCAACCTAGATGGAACTAGAGGATATCATGCTGAGTGAAGTCAGTTGGAAGGAAAGATTTCTCTCATATGTGAGAATTAGAGATACATAGCAAGATAGTAACAAAGATCCAAAGATAGTGCAATGGGAGAAGTGATCTACACAATCAAATTAGGGTGGGGCTTGGGAGCGAGAGGTGGTTAGGGTCTTTGGGATAGAGATGTGGGTACACTGGTGATGGGTGTGGTATTGGAATTATGTGCACGAGAGACCATTGTTAATAGCATAGTAAACCACGAAATGCAACTTTTTAAAAAATAAATTCCAAGTGTTTGAATATTTGGTGACTAATTTATATTTAATGTACCTATTGTAGACATGTTTCTGGCCTTGTATGTTCAATAGGTCTCATACAATGACCATTAATTACATCAAAATCCCAAGTTTATCTTATACCACAGGTCAGGATATTTTTTTTTTTCTTTTTGGGTCACAACAGGTGATGCACATGGGTTACTCCTGGCTCTGGCACTCAGAAATTACTCCTGACGGTGCTCAGGGGACATATGGGATGCTGAGAATTGAATCCGGGTTGGCTGCGTGCAAAGCAAATGCCCTACCTGCTGTGCTATCATTCCAGCCCCAGGTCAAGATACTTTTAGTGAATCCACATGGCTGTGATTGAGTATGGCACTGCATCTGCAGGATGGTGTTAGGGCAGCTGTCTTTGTAGGATGAGCGAAGTAGGTGATTATGCAATCTTTATTCTATACTTGGCATTGTGTGAGGTCAGGGATACAAAAAGACTACCTAATTTTATCTATTTCTGAAAGGAGAGAGGAGTGCTTAGTGGGGAGGACAGAGAATAACACTTTAAAAGGCACTGACATGAGAGTGCCTGGAAGTGATGAAGAACAGCATTTATTCAGCATTCATGATGGTCTGAGCTTGGGTTTTACGTGGCTAGGGGTGGGATATTGCTTGTTGGAAAATGATCAAGGACAAAATTGCTAAAGTCACGTATGCTAGCCCTGCTCAGAAGTATGAGCATCATGACTCTGGCATCTAAGCTGGCACAAGATAACTGTATCTGTGTTTGGGAATGATCACTCTAGGAGGATTTCCCACTAAATTGTCTTTTTGGGGGGAGGGTCACATCCGGCAATGCACAGGGGTTACTCCTGGCTCTGCATTCAGGAATTAGCCCTGGCGGTGCTCTGGGGACCATATGGGATGCTGGGAATCAAACCCGGGTTGGCCATGTGCAAGGCAAATGCTCTACCCGCTGTGCTATCGCTCCAGCCCCTAAATTAAGTCTTAAGGTGAAGGAAAAAATGAACAAATAATGACCAGTCAAAGAAATAAATGGGTGATAATAGCTGTAAATGTTCTATAAGTTCAGAGAAAGGGTTGCTCTAGTGGGAACAATATTTGAGGACGTGGAGGAGGATTTAAATTGTCGGCCCTGTGACTTGACCATAGAAGGTAACATGGCCAGTAAATCAGGTGTTGAGCAGGACTAGTATTTATTTGAAAGAAGATTGGAAGTAATACAAGGTTGCATGAACAAATGAGATTCCCAAGAAGACAAAACTAATTAGAAAAGAGTGGTAGATAATATTATTTCGTGTGAAAAGCGGTCCTATATTTTGGAAGATTTGAAAGCCCCAATTGGGGAGCTTGAATTGAATTTATTGACCAATAAGAGGTTATTGGAGATTATTAAACAGGTAATCTGACATTTTCAGATCTAACTAAACTGTACTAGTGTATCGATTCTCTTTATCTTAATTGAGGAAAAACTGTTTCTGGAGAGATGATGATGCTGGTTTAATTTCTTAATATTAAAGGAAAGGACAGAAGCAGCTTTGCTTTGGGGCTGGGAAAAAAAAGTTGGTAACCTCAGTTAGCCTTTGGGAGAGATTATGGAATAGTTCCCTATAGGGGCACAAAGGAAGTTGAAACAGAAATGAATGAGTGCCAATGTGAGATATTTTGGGTGATAACAGTATAGAGAGGAATGGAACACATAGAAATAGGAGAGAAACTGCTTGCTTTGTAGAGCTTGTGGGAGCAGTTTTTTTTTTTTTTTGCCTTGTGGAGCAAGAGAAACCATTTGCCATGTGGTTAAGTGGGGAAAGGCACACCTGGTAGTGCTCAGAAACTACTTTTATTTCTGTGTTTGGGACTTGCTCCTGGTGGTGGTTGAGAGACCAGATGTATTGCAGGGAATTGAACCCAGACCTCTTGCATGTTAAACATGTTCTCAGCCTAGCCTAGCTTATCTCAGAGAGTTTTAGGAATAGTTTCAGGCCATGCATAGATAATATCTCATTCCATCCCACAGTTGTTATACTTTTATACTGAATCCCATGGTAATCTGGAAATCCTTGTTAATACGGTTCTTCATGTAGCTGCTATAGGTTGATCAGCACTGGAATTGCATCCAGACCTATTTACCATGTCTGGAGTAATCAATGAATGAGAAATAGCTTATGACTGTACTCACTGTGCAAATCAAATTTTACTTTTCCAGGTAGAACTTGCTGAAATATGTGCCAAGAGTGAACGTTACATTGGCACTGAAGGAGGCGGGATGGACCAGTCCATATCATTTCTTGCCGAAGAAGGAACTGTAGGTGACATTGGGTTATATTGAAATACCAACTAGGGAAAATTTTCATGATACACGAAACCTTGATTAAAATCCTCAGAATGTTTGATTTTGGACACCACACTGTAGGATAACATTTCTCAGCTGCTTTGTACTCCAAGGGTACCTATTCTATTTTGTGTTAATCACTTCTACCAAACTTTCCAAAATTGCACTTCAGATTTATTTATTTTTCTTTTCTAGTCCCCTAGCCCCTCTTCTATTTCTCTTCATTGTTAATATGAGGTTTCCCAACTCTAGTTACTGGGACCTCCTTTCCTGCCCTTGTCTCAAATCACTTGATCTCATGGCATTTTCATAATCTCTTGTTGGTTTGAAACCCAAAGGTTACTTCTCTTACCACATATATTCACAACCTCTCTTTTTATAATTTACTCTTTGGTATCATTTTTCTCTGTCAACATTTTTGGGGCTTCAGTGGTGGGAAAAAGAATGTTGATAGTAAGCCAGGAATGAATTCCTTAGCTTGATACCACTTCCCCTTGGCTATCAACTCTTTTAGGCAGAGCGAAGGTTTTGGTCTTTGTCCATAAACTGCCCATTTCCAAAATAGAAGCAGACATTTCTTTAAAATATTTTCTTCATGTCTCATTAGATTTTTACAGACTAGGCTTTTTCCCCCCCACAAATATGTGGATTTCTTTACATTGAGAATATTTGTTGTTGATATCACTATGCCAAATATATGAGGCAGGAGGACATTTGGTTTAATGCTGAGAAAATACTCTAGTTGTATTGGATGAGGTCCTATAAGCAGTCATGGTGCCATTTCATAGTATGACTTTTTTTCCCCTCTAACTTTACCTGCCACTCCTCACCTCTCCAACTCTACGTTTCAGGCAAATTTCAATACCCAAAATATTGTTAACACCCACTTTTTTTCAGCCTTTGAACTTGCATAAACACTTCACTTTTCTCAAGATCCTAATTGGGAAAAGAAACTGTCCCACTCTTATTCTTATTCATTCATTGAGACTCACGTTTAGATTTCCCTCTCTTTCAAAGTTGCTTACACTAGGCTCTATCTGGTCAGCATGTTCCATTCGAACATGTGTCTGTATAGTGCCCTACACTTTCCTACCATAATGATACTTATACCCTGGAAATGGATATCTACTTGATTGTCTTTCCCTCTAGAATATAAGATCTGTGAGAGCAGGTTATTCTCAGCCTTAATGTTATTTCTCCAGGACATGGAAGTCAATGAATAACATCTGAATAAATGAATGCACTTTGGGGAAATTTTTTGCTAAGACAAGTAAATGCACAAACCATTAAACATTTTCTAAATTTGAATGAATTATTTTTTCTTCCTATAGGCCAAGTTAATAGAATTTAGTCCTCTGAGGGCAACTGATGTGAGACTTCCAAATGGAGCAGTGTTTGTGATTGCCAACAGTTGTGTGGAAATGAATAAGGCAGCAACATCCCATTTTAATATCAGAGTGATGGAGTGTCGGCTGGCTGCGAAGGTATGAACTTGGGACACAACTAAAACTTGAAATAGCCCTTCTCTTGACTTTTTTTTTTATTTTCCTAAATCTCAGGGTACCATTCCTATGGCAGTAAAGAATAAAATGTGGCTCCAAATACAGGAAATAAATAAATCTAATAGTTTGCTCTACAACTTCTTGCTATTTGGAAGATATATGTCTTTTAGGATGATAATTGGGAGAAGACGACAGCTTGATCTGTGAGGTACAAGTCATGGGATAGATTTATGGGTGGAGAAAGGTAGTTGGAGGGAATTAATAAGTAACCAAAACTGGTCTTGTTTTCTCAACAAAAGTGATGGCAGCCTCTCCCACTGGCTCTCTAAGATGCATTCTTTTTCTGATTCTATTTAAATATATAGAGTTAGTATGACCCCACCCATCCCAATAAAGCCTCTACATGTCTACTAGGGAAATGCCAGCCATATGAGAAATTTGATACTTCTCCATAGTGTAGACCCTTGCCAGTCAAGGAAGTATTTATTGAATACCTCACAGCATAAAGACGTGTAAAATGAGTCAGAAGAGAGGAAAATGTCACGATTAGGAGGTTTGAAAAAGGTAACATGAAATATGAAATTGTTAGTGATTGTTAGTGATGGTTAGTGATTAAGTGGTGTGTGATCATGTACAATAAGTGACATTAAATATGGTAGGCACCAAATGTTATTTGATATTACTAGAAAGTTGCAGAACTGAGAATGGGAAACTTGGAAATGGATTGTGGATCAGATGTTTCACTGTGCTTCCACCCACTCATCTTTCAGAGAGCACTTAGGATCAGGGTTTAGAAATTTAAATCGGATCTGGTAATATCTCTGCTTAACTTCATTCAAAAGCCCTTCATTTCATTAGACTAATGTAAAATGTTCTTAACACACTGCCTGAAAAACCCTGTAAGTTCTGATTTCTAGGTCCCTCATTCTTCCTTTCTTAACACTCCCATCCCCAGTACACTCCTGACAGGAAGCTTGTTCCCCTATCCCTTTTAGAAGTTGCAGTCTAAATGCCTTTCTGGGAAGCACGTTTGATACTTACTCCCAAATGAAGGCAGGGCCTCCTCCTTTTTCCCAGCACTTGTACTCCTAGTTATGGCATTTCTTACAATTGTACAACTTCCCTCCCCCCCCCCCCCCCCCCCGGCCCACCTTGATATGCCAAACACAGTAACAAGAAGTCTCACAATGGAGACATTACTGGGCCCACTCGAGCAAATCAATGAACAACGGGAGGACAGTGACAGTGACAGTGACAGTGATTTCCCCCTTTCCCTTCCTCCCGCCCTCCCGCCCACCAATCCCTGCAATGTGTTTCCCTCCACCATTGTCTCTGGGTCCTCCCTCATTCCTTAATCACTATCTCACTCCCCTACCCCATCTCACTGTTCTGTAGACTAGTTCTGTAGACCAGTTCTTGGATTTTGTTGCTTTTGGCCTTAAAAGAGTCAGAAGGAGAGGGACAGACACAGATTGACTGCATTCATTTGTAGGATGTAAAGAAAATAGTATGAAACTAATATCCAAGACCAGGGAAAACAGGAGCCAGGTGGATTGGTCAGTGACTGGAAGCCTGCCACAAGTGTGTGTGGTGTGAAGGGACCAGTATGACAATAATGTTGTAAATGATCACTTTGGACAGGAACTGAGTATTGAAAGTGGGTAAAGGGATATATCTGATAATCTTTCTGTATATGTATTGCAAGCCATAGGTCCAAAAAGGGGGATGGGTTTTGGGGAAGGGGAGAGAGAAAGAGAGAGAGATAGAGAGAGAGAGAGAAGAGAACGCTTGCCATAGAGGCAGGCTGGGATAGGGGGGTGGACGGGAGGGAAACTGTGGACATTGTTGGTAGGAAATGTATGTACACTGGTGAAGGGACAGGTGTTAGAGCGGAAATTATATGACTGAAAATATGAAATTATATGACTGAAGTTATATGACTAAAATCCAGTCATTAACAACTTTGTAATGTCTATGATTCAATTTAAAAAATCACTGTCACTGTCACTGTCCTCCCGTTGTTCATTGATTTGCTCGAGTAGGCCCACTAATGTCTCCATTGTGAGACTTCTTGTTACTGTGTTTGGCATATCGAATACATCATCAGTAGCTTGCCAGGCTTTGCCATTCGGGTGAGATACTCTCGTTAGCTTGCCAGGCTCTCTGAGAAGAGTGGAGGAATCGAACCCAGCTTGGCCGGGCTGTCTGCGTGCAGGGCAAACGCCCTACCACTGTACTATCGCTCCAGCCCAAAAGCAAGAGGCTGATTTGGATGCATTTAGATAATTTTTAAAAATATGTAAAAGAAATGCTTTACTAGAGCATTTTAATATTAAACTCAAAGTAGTACATATATGGGGGGGGGAGTACATTTTTTTGCTATCCAGGCTTCAGTGAACTTGTTTTCCTTAAGGACACATTTCCTTTTGGAGGAGATGGAAGAAATTAGTGTCTTATTTGTTTGAAGGCTTATTCTTGTTGAGCATTTCTTCAGAGGTCAATGAGTAACTGTTGTCTTCCTGAGGAGATTTCAAACATATACAATATTGTTTTCAAAGTTTAATCATGAAGTCAACTATCGTCCATGATTCCATAGGTGAGTTTATACAAGGAGGAGGCATGTGAAGTGAGTTCATGCTGTGACCTTCTCTTCTGGGAATGCAAGATAGGTGAGGGGGAGGAAAATCTTAAGTTAGTTAGAACCAGGTGTCTCTTTTGGAAGTATAGTAGCTGAAAACCTTAATCTACTTTAGAAGGCTGAGGTTCTTGGAGTCATCTGTTACCTTATTGAGGACATCTTCTGAATTTAACCCTTTAATCTACACATCATTTTAGAAGCATTTTGGCAAACAAAAATGGTGTCTTAATTCGGCTTTTGCTACACATTCCTTCCAAGATAAAACAGTGTTTTAAATAATCTCATTTTTTTTCTCTTTTAAAATGCGTAAGATAGAAAACCAGAGAACTTGGAACTGGAGCAATAGTACAGTGGTGAGGAAGGATGCTTGCCTGATTTAGCAATCCCTGGCTCCCCATATGGTCCCCCAAATCCTGCCAGCAGTGATCACTGAACACAGAGCCAGGAGTAAGCCCTGAGCACTTCTGGGTGTGACCCCAAAGCAAACTAAAGGAAAACCAGAAAACGTCATCAAGATGGAAAATGTTCTCTAAATCATGTTGCTACAAACCACCAGAATCCCAGTTTATATACAAAAGGGAAGTAAGGATAAAACTCACCAATGTGGGGCTGTAGCGATAGCAGGTAGGGCATTTGCCTTGCACGCGACTGACCCTGGCTCAATTCCCAGCATTCCATATGGTCCCCCGAGCACCGGCAGGAGTCATTCCTGAGTGCAGAGCGAGGAGGAACCCCTGAGCATCGCCAGGTGTGACCCAAAAAGCAAAAAAAAAAACCTCACCAATGTGGACTGTATACATACATATTCATATTAGGAATATGTCTTGTCCTGCTAAGCATATTTTCCTAATAAGATGATTTTGTTTTAGCAACATATGCATGAATTTAATTTTTGTTTAAAAATGTTCTCATTAAGTTAGGAAATAAATTCAAGTGAGAAACGTAAAGCTTATCTCAGTCTAGACAATTTCTTTTTCAGGCAATAAAAATATGTGGTTAGTGAAGAAATGGCTAACCATGAAAGCTTTGAAAGTAAGCATAATTAGATAGAATGCTTCACATGGCAAAATATAATGACTAACACTTTTTTTTCCTTTTTGGGTCGCACCCAGCGACGCACAGGGGTTACTCCTGGCTTTGCACTCAGGAATTACTCCTGGTGGTGCTCAGGGGACCATAAGGAATGCTGGGATTGGAACCCGGCCCAGCTGTGTGCAAGTCAAATGCTCTACCCGCCATGCTATTGCTCCAGCCCCTAACACTTTCTTTTTTATTCTCTCCACAACCTCCTCCGTTGGGAGTGCCTGTATGTATGTTACACAGGGAAATATACTAATCCAATAAAGAGGAATTTCCTTTATTTTATTTTACAGTTGACCTATTCTCAAGCTTCTGTTTGTTCTCACTCCTCACCTCCCAACCTCTTTCCCTCAGTGTCCAAAGACTAATTGATGCAGATTTTTAAAAATTCAGTCTATAGACTTATTTGAAATAAAATTAAAAACATTTCAAAGCAAACTCAATAGAGAGTCATAGTGATTACAGTATTTGCGTAAATGAAACTTTAAAGTAAAGCACATTTGTATGGTCTTAAATTAACAAAGTGGCCAGAAATCTTTAATGAACACCAAGTTTTTCAAATTTTGCACAGATTAAGTGGCTCACACTTTTCCATAAATGTTAATGTCTACAAAAGAGAGTATTTCTTAATTACATTGTGGGATAAAATGTGTGATGCTGATAATAAATATTACAGTAAATCAAAAGGCAAAGAGGAGTTGGGCTGCTTTGCACTCTCTGAGCAACTTGTGGCAAATGGAAAACAATGAAGGAGAGAGTTTCTTGTGGTCCTTTGGCACTTCAAGAAAGATTTGCAGGGATTCTTCACAGAGCCTGTCTGGTCAGGGACCATTGCTCACCCAGTTTTTCACTTCCTGTCACTTAGTAGTCAGTATGGAACTTATTCTCCGTCTGGGGGTAGATTGTGAGAAGTGGGCATAATAGTCTCAGGGCTTTGACAGTTTTTCTTAGTTTTGAGTGGAGAAAAGCCAACTGTCCAAGAATGTAGCCAATTTCATTTAGCCTGTTGATGGAGGAAAACATGCTGGATCAAGCTTCTAAGTGTGGAGTATTCAGAGGATGGGAGTCCAAACTGCAGGACAGAAGACACACATATTCGGGGATAGGGTGGTTGTATTTAGGGGGATCAGATTGTAGCAGAGTTTTCAGTGCTGTGTTCAAGGCTACAACAGTGGGAAGCTACTAATTATGGCAGCAAGGTATTTTAGAAATAGTAATTTGGCAGCAGCCCCTTGGTTAAGGAGAAGTGGTTCAAAGAGTGTCT